TTGAGCTTCTGTCAGTTTGTATTTATATATTCTGTGATTCTTATCAGGTATACCTGAGTTCAGAATTCTCATAATTTCTTGATGAGTTAAACTTTTTTATCACTATATTGCAATTTTATCCATTCAAAGTCTATTATATTAATTAAAAATAGCTTGGAGTTCAGGGTGTAGCTCAGTGGTAGACCGTTTGCCTGTCATGTGTGAGGCCCTGGGTTCTATACCTAGCACCACAAAACAAAAATAGAAACTTGATATTTCCACTCAAAGTCTATTTTCAAAGTTTATTTCTTTTTCTCTTTAAACTTAGGTTATTTATGTCTAACATACAGCTTTTATGATTAGCATCAAGCTGTATTTCTTATATTCAGACTGGTCATCTTTAGTTTTTTTACTGAAGTATTTAGTCCACTGATATTTTTCAATATATTTGAACTTGTATCTACTATTTTACTTTGTGGTTTTTAAATTATTTTCTATTGCTTCACCCACCACTACTTTTCCCTATTTGGTTCCTATCATTAAGCTTTTATTATTTTGCCTGTGTTACTCTGGAAGATATATACTTTGTTTCTGCCTACTTAGTGATATTCTTGAAGTGTTTATCATGTCTTAGTTTAACAAAAACTAAGCTGTTATTTCAGCTTCTTTAAAGAACATTGTTAGGAGCTCAGAATATTTCAATAATTTTTCCTCCTAGACTTACTTGGTGTTGTTGTCAACTCTTAAAAAGGTTTCTATTTTTTTTTTTACTTTAAAAATTTATATAAAATAAAATTAACCGTTTGGGTGGACTTCTGTGAGTCTTAACACATACATAGATTTGTGTAAGCACCATCATAAGCAAAATGAGAGCAGTTCCATGACCTCAAAAAATTCCCTCATGTCAACCCTCTAGTGGTCAACCACCCCACTCCATGTCGCCCACTGCTCTGCTTTCTTTTCCTACAGTTTAGCTTTTTCTTAATGGAATATGATTGGAATCATTATGTATCTAACCTTTTGAGATGGGATTTTTTACATTGGGCATAATGGTTTTGACACTGATTCGTGTCATAACATGTGTCAATATTCCATTCCTGTGTATTGCTGGAGACTATTCCATTGTGCAAATGTTCCATAGTCTGTTTACCTTTTCACCCGTGGGAGGACATTTGGTTTGTTTCCAGATTTTTCAGTATTACAAATAAAACTATCAACATTCTCAGTGTGTGTGTTTGGGGGGTGGTTAAACATAAAATTTCATTTCTGTCAAGTAGCATTGCTAGGTCATGTGGCAAGTGTAAATTCAAGTTTATAAGAAATGATCATACTCTTCCAACAGTGGCTTTGTGTTATGGCGTGTGTCTAGATGTTCCCCTAAAACCTCATGGCGTCATAGGTGGGGCTTTTTCAGAGGTAGCTAGATCTAGAGTTTGATGCTGGAATTGATTCATGGTGCAGTGCTAGGCTCAAGCACTCTAGGATTAAGGGTGTGAATGCTACCTACCCTTAGTATCCTGGATAAGATAAAAGCGGCAGAAAGATGCCAATAAGGCCCCTTGCTTGCTTCCTTTGCTACTTTCTGCCATGCCACTCTGCCTTGGAGCCAGGCCAACTATGGACTGAAAGCTCTACAGACTGTAAGCCAAATAAACTTTTCCTCTTTAACTTGGGCATTGAGTATTTTGTCTTAGCAATGAGAGAAAAGTAACTAAGACACTGTGTCATTATTTAGGGTTTAACCCCAACAGTTTGTGAGAGTTCCAGGGATTCCATCTTCTCCAGAACTTGAGATCTGTGGTGTGTGTGTGGCCATTCTAGTACTTGTATTTTATTTTTATTTTTATTTTTTTTGGTGCTGGGGATTGAACTTGGGTCTTTGCACTTGCGAGGCAGGCGGCAGAACCACTGAGCTAAATCCCCCACCTCTTGTATTTTATTTTGGTATCAATTCACACTTTACTAATGGACAACAATGTTGAGGAACTTTCCTTGTGCTTTTTTGGCATCAACGTATTTTCCTTGGTCAAATTTCTGCTCAGGTTTTTTGCCTATTTTTAAGAGAATTTTTTTCTTATTGAACATGAGAATTCTGTGTATAACTTAGATACAACTCTTTTTTATATATATGATGCACATATATTTTTTCTCTTTTTGGGTGTTATATTTTCATCTTTTTTTTTTTTTTGGTACCAGGGATCGAACTCAGATCCTTCCTCTTGCAAGGCAGGCGGCAGAACCACTGAGCCCCGGCCCCATATTTTCATCTTTTAACAGTGTTTCAAAGAGCAAAAGATTTTCATTTTGAAGAAGTCTAATTGTAGCAGGGTTTTTCTTCTTTTATGAATCATGCTTTTGCTGTTGTACCAGTATCTATGAACCCATGGTTTCAATCAGTATCATGGATATTTCCTCCTATGTTTTCTGGGAAAATGTTATGACTTAACCAAGGCATGGTGGCATGTACCTTTAATCCAGGCATGGTGGCATGTACCTTGCTATTCTGCAGGCTGAGGCAGGAGGATCACAAGTTTAGGGCCAACCTGGGCAACCTAGCAAGACTTTGTCTTTAAATAAAAAATAGAGACATCTGGGCATGTAGCTTGGTGATAGTGCACCCCTGGGTTCAGTTGTTAGTATTGGACACACACACACACATCAAAAAAACCCAAACTTTGTTTTTTATTGAAGTCTATGACTTCATACATTAACTACTATATATGCTGTGGAGAATGGGCCAGGATTCCTATTTTTGCATATCAATGTATTCTATCCCAATTTGTTGCAAAGACTCTTCTGCTCCATTGAGTTACTTTTGTGCTTGTGTCAAGATTAGTTGGTCATATTTGTCTCATATATTTCTGGACTCTATTCTGTCCCACTGATCTAGGTTTCTGTCTTTTGCCAATACTATACTTTTATTTAATTTTATAGTATATCTTAAAATTGGATCTTGTGATTCCAACAACTTTAGTTTTCTTCCTAGAAATAGTTTCAGTTATTTTATTTCCTTTATACTTTAATATCAGTTTCAGAGACAGTCTGTACAGCAAATCCTGTTGAAACCTTGACTGGGATGACATTTAATATATGGTTGGTTTGGGGAAAACTGGCATCTTTGCTGTGAGGGTGTGATTGAAAAGTATAATATATGTTTAAATTTTTAAAAATGTGTCGCAGTAAACAACACATTGCCATTAATACCCCTTGAAACACTCCCCCATGCTTCAAACACACTTATCCCAGCATTCTTGCCACTTTTCCGAAGCAGTTCTAGAAAGTCCTCTTTTGAGAGTGTCTTTAGTTTCATTGTCATGGCTGCCTTGATGTCCGGAATCATTTCAAAGTGTTTACCTTTAATGGTCATTTTGATTTTGGGTTTGACTTTGGGGAAGAGCCAGAGATTGCATTGTGCCAGATCCTGGGAATGAGATGAATGAGGACACATTGTAATGTTTTTACACATCTGCCTTTTCTTTGAAAGGCAAGTGGCAGCAGCATTCACTGTATTTTTTATTACTCATGTACAGACATTCACGAAAGAGGGCTTCCAGAACTGCCTCAGAAATTTGTAAGAACCATGGAATAAGTGTGTTTCAAGCTGGTGGGAAGGTTTTTGAGGGTGATTGATAGCAATGTGTCTTTTGCTATAATAAATTTTTTTAATTTAAAAATTCGCCATATATTTTGGTCACTCTTTTTTTTTTTTTTTTTT